TTGATATATAGTGTAACTTATTAATATTATAACATATTTTATATACTCTATATTTGTATGTAAATAATACATTAAATAATATTAGATATATACATATATTTACGTAAAAATAATATAAAATCCTTCAATAAGTAGGATGAGAGCACTCCACAGGGAAAGCCAGCCTCTTTCTCCCTTTTCTATCATCCACTTTAAATATTGTGTTCAATTATAAGTAAGTTATTTTTATTTCCATCCTGTCAATGTTTCTTGTGGTACTAGCGAGGAGATAGGAGAGTAGAGAAGTGGGCAACTGGGGGAATGGGCACAGAAAGAGGATATGATTATCTATTTGGGGTGCAGAAATTCCAAATCCTATGTGCACAAAAATACTATCAATTTTTAAATTGGTATTTTATCCTTCTCTTATCCCATTTTACAGGTAAGTGAGCTGAGGCTCAGGAAAGTTTAGTAGCACTGTTATTAAGAGGTACAATCAGTATTCCAAATCCATACCAGATTCCCCACCCATTGGAATGAACCACCAGGACAGCTGGGTCTTTAGGAAGTAGAAGAACATGTGCATGACTTTCCAGATCTGTCCTATCTCCTGAACTCTATCCGTCTGTATCTACAACTACTTAAACACTCTAGCCTCCTTTCCTGCCAGCTTCTCTCAGGACCCACATACTCTACATACTCCAAACACTGACACAGAGCTAGGGAGCAGGACTGGTACCCTGGAAAATAGGTTAACATTGGCCCAGCTCTAATTACCACTCCAATAGCCTAAGCCATGCCTAGTAGACAAACCAAACCAGAGGCACATTAATTCCTGCCCCAGCTGGCTCCCATCATAAGCATACTCATACTGGTGTGAGAAAAGGGGCCCAGCCTGAACCCCTGATGTGGGAGAAATGCACCCAGCCCTGACTCTCTTCTTATTTTTAATTAGAAGTTCTCATTAAAACCACTACAGCAATGAGGCACACACCAGGCAGCATACTTCAGGACAATTAGCAGACTCCTCAGGTGGCTAAAATGCCCCAGCCCTGGCCCAGGGCTGACATAATTGCACCAAAACATACAGCCTTCCAGGAAGCTCCCATTTTAAGTGGAAAGAAACAATTAGTCACACAATCTATTGGGCAGTTAGATCTGTAGGAAATTATTCATTTAAAAGTTTGCCAGGGGTTGAGATATATGGAAATTATCTCTTGCCTGTGTTTCAATGCAACCCTAAGCCTATTCCCAGCCCTGCCCTCTCCCAGTCCCCATGCTACTTAATGCTCCGTGTGTTTGTGTACAGACAACTGCTGTGCAAAACAGACTTTATTATAATTATGTGTCTGGATCACTGGAGACATGAGCATTCCATGACTAGAATGGGAGAAATAATTAGTGGGGCTAAGAGGTTCTGGTACCCCCATCTACCTCACTGCCACTTTTCTGACTCCTGAAGCCACTAATTAAAATCTGCCCCTAAGATAGCTCCTGGCTGAGTCATCCTGGTATTTCTGAGGAGTAAATAAAAAGAGTAAACTAGTAGACCAGAAAGACCAATCTGAACACAAGGAAAAACAAGGGAAAGTCACCCACGGGCTCCCTGGACTCTGTTTGAAGCTATACTCTTGGATTCCACAGGCACAAGCATCTTGTCTTCCTTTGATAATCCCTCTCCAGCTCTCATTGCTGAACCACTGCACCTTCCACAGGCCAACAGTGCTGCTATAATCAATATTCAACTGGCATTTCCACTGCATACTCAAAGTCTTCTTACAGCCTTTTCAAATCCAATTCAGACCAAAATAATCTTTGCCCTTGCATTTTGGTTCAGTCAGTGGTGATTGTTAGCACTGCAGATTATAGTTTATTAGCATTTATTGAACAGCAAAGGAACCCCGCATGATAGTGGTTGTCATTAGGTCTTTGACTCCCAAACTAAAATTAACAAACCAGCAGGACACAGTCACTGGGGCAGGAAGGAGGGTTAGTTCAGAAAGAATTGTTATTTATGATTTTTCATACCAGACTATCGATGGAGAGGACTGTGAAGCTTTGAAGAAAAGGGCAGTCTAGCTAATATGAGGCAGCCACTGTTTGATCACTTACTTTAAAGTCTCCAGTCACCCTCAGGTTTCATTATTTGTGTTTCTAGAGGAAGTGGTAAAGTATAAAGAGGCCTCAATTCCAAAATCTAGTGTGCGAGTGATCTTGAGCAAATTGGGTTCCTTGGCAGGGATTCGGCTCATCTTCAAAATAACAGTTAACAGGATCATGAGTATTCAGTGGTGTTTAAACTTTGCTCCTCCAAACCCCTAGGAAGATACAGTGTGGAAAAGGACAGGTCTCCTTTCCTATACTACCCAGAGTAGTCTCATCCTATCTGATTCATATTCCAGGCTTTCTTCTAAGATTTCTTTTTTCCTTTTTGTTTTATGATAGAAAACACATGCATACACACACAAGAGAAACAGAAAAAGAGAAAGAGAGAGAGAGAGAGAAGTATCCTCAATAAGGTTCTGTCACACCATTCATGATTCCCTTTTCCTAGCAGGATCCTGAACACCCATGCATGCCCAATAGGTCTCTGGCCCACCCAGTGACCTGAATCCACAGCTGACCATGTGGCTTCCAGCCTTGTAGGGCACTTGAGTTAGCAATGTACCACAGCAGTTGGGCTATCCCCTAAGATTTTGAAGGAAAA